AATGAGCCATTTTTATCCACAGAGGGGGCCAACAATGTGGATGGAGCTGTAAAGCAGTTGTGGATTGGGGCTTAGAGAATATTGAACACATCATGTGTGACCTACATCAAACAAACTGTGTCCTTCATCGTTCCAGACATAACACATATCTCAGATCATTAAAAAAAAGGTCATTTAGGCATCAGTTTAGATATGGGCCATTGTCTGTATCTGTCCACTGAGAAATCACCAATGTCTGCTTTGATAAATACCCCTCTGACCTCTTTCACCTCTATTCCACCCAGGTCTGTCTAAGTTCCATCAAGAGCCATCACCCCAAACTGTGCCCGCTGGGGGAGCTGCCCGGTTTGAATGCCAGATTGAGGGAGTACCCACACCTGTTATTACCTGGGAAAAGGACAAAGTGGCTGTCCCTGAGGAGACACGGTGATCCCTTCTATCTACATGTTGTCGTTCTGTCTTCTTTTTCTTAAAATATTTCAATGCATGAATGATGTGATTACTCCGGTTTGTTTAGAGTTTCTGCAATTTCAGTCCAATTAGTTAATTATTTTGAGGGCACATTCTTTTTGTTATTGTGCTTTTTCCCTGGTAATTTTCTCTTGACTTGTTCCTTAATTAATACGCAATACTATGAATTACATCATCACATTATATAATTATATGATTTGATATACATTTCATAAATGTATACCTGTTGCCACATCCCTGACATGTCTATCTCTGTCAGTTGTGTCTCACAAATAGTCTCATTTACTGGTCCACTTAACGATATTGACATTTCTCTGTGGCTCTTCTGGCCCTGGCGCCTTGGAATTAGTTTCCAGTCTTTTTGCACAGGACTAAGTGCTAATGGCTGCTGTAGCCCTGCATGACCCGCAAACAGCTCGCTGCTTATAAGGTCTTATTGGAGGGATGTGGTTCTCCCACCTCAGGTGCTGTTAATGGCCTCTTACAAAGATGAGCTAAAGGATGGTTGATACATCACTGGCCTTTTCTCTCTGTGTTCTCTCTGCCTCTAATGTGCTTTTTCCTCTTTGCCATATTTTGTTTTTTCTCTTTGCTATTATCCCCTTTACATCTCTATTTATGTTACACTTCTATCCTCATTTTTCTCTTCATTCATAGCTCCCTGTCTTCCTCTCATTATATTTATGTTTTTATTCATTGTTTTTCCCATCCACTGCCTTGTTATTCTCCCTATTCTCTCAACTCTTCTCCACTCCCTCCCTTCTGAACAGGATACCACTGGTCACATTTTGTTGGGATTAATAGGCTATGATAAAGGTGGTCAGAGGTTGTGAGATGACATTACATTGCCAGGACCCAGGAGGCCTGTCTTGCAGGCCAGAAGTAATATGTAATATGTCTGGTCCTCCATAGAGGAGGCAGAAGTAGAGTTGTGTACCAGTACCTGTGGTGCTGGTACACAATAGTATTCTTCTGAATAAAAAAGGATAGAAGCTATGTGAGGACTTATCAGGATCCCTGCAGAGTTTATCAGCTGGATGTTTCATGCTACAGGGCACTAAGCCATTTATTCACTTGTTTTTCTCTCTCTCTCTCATTCGCCTTCTTACTCGTTCTCCCTCTGCCACCTCTCCTCTGTGTTGCCCTGCGTGCAACAGGTTCATTTCCCTTCCTAACGGGGTGCTCCAGATTCTGGAGGTGACCAAGGAGGATGAGGGTGCCTACCGCTGTGTTGTGTCCAACTCTGCCAGGAAGGACATCAGTCATGAAGCCATGCTCACTGTCACCACAGGTGAGGTCTGTTGCATTGCTTTATAGTGTTTGAATAGTCAGCCAGGCCCTGCTGGAAGCTATCAGGCCAATCTCAAAAGTCGAATGTAAGTTTTAGGACTCAACGCTTGAAATGTGTTACGTCTCTCCAGTGCTAACAAAATGGCACTCTTTCATGTAAACCTGTGTTTGTATTGTGTGCTTAACTAATGTAATCCAAATCTAAACAATGTTTCTGGCAAATATTTTGAATACTGAACTGATGTGGAATTATTGACATTATTCAGACTATGATAATAACTTGTATAATCACATGCAGAACTAGAGAAATATTCATGGGGCGACAAGAGGGTGGCATGGAGACTTAAAGGGGTGGCAGAAAAAGATCCTGATTTAATCGCATACAAGACATGTACTTTTATCAATATTTGCTTGGAAAAGCCCCTAAATTAAGATATTGTAACTTTACATTACATTATTGTGGCACCTTAGTAAAGTATTGAATAGAAATACCTAGAGGTGTTTGTGTTTTTTATAGATCTTAAGCCAATCACGTAGTTTAATATTAAATTCATTTCTTTTTTTAACGGGTCAATTTTCAAAATAATTTAAATTAATGTGTTCAATTTGACAGTATTTGACGCCAGGCATTTTTTTGTAGGTAGCAGCTGCCACCCCATACCCACCCTTTAGATCTGCTCTTGACACCCTAAAGATCCCTTGAAGACATGTTTTTAAGAAATATAAAGTACTGTTCTTTGAATAAGAATTTGTTTGTTTATGTTTTTTCCACAAAAAAAAAATGAAATTACCTTGTTAATATGTCTTTAAAATGTCTTAATAATTACGTCTACTCACTTCTTATTTAAAAGTCCAGAACATTACAAAAACCATTTCAAAAGTTACTGGACACAAGTTGTATTCTACTTCACTGAAAACTTCTTTTCCAGCGTATTTTCACTGAAGGTTAAAGTTCCACATCGCACTGTAAGCTGCATAATGGACGAGCACAGACAAACTTTCCCTCTTTACCAGATGAATGTGAAAACAGATTTCTAGTGTCAAACTCTGCACAGACATTCATGCACAGTGAAGGTCAAGCATCCAAGTGAAGTAACAAAGTAGGCAAAACATCTTTTGAGTTCAGGGGGACTTTGAAGATGCACTGTGGTATTCATTACAGTAGAATACTGTGGATCTGTTCTCAGTGATAATACAGTTTTGATTTTTCTTTGATTGAAGTAACTTCAGTCGTGACTGCACATAGATGCTGTGAGCAAATGGGGAATGCATGGTATTTAGACCCATATCACTACAAAGAGGAGGGAATTAGAATGGGTGTAATGTGATCAAAATTGCTTGTTTGAGGTCACCCAGGGGCCACCCTGCTAATTGTTTTCTTTAATTAAAGCAAAACAAAGTGAAGCAGTGTTGTGATGGAGGGGCTCTGTAACTGACTGCGGGCAGCACAAACACACACACACACACACACACACACGCTACACCTTCATTTTTGTTGCAGTTAATAAATCTCGCTGTTATCCTTCTTTGCTTTACCGTTTTACGACCAAGGGTGCACACTAGTTCTATTTTCATTTGCGCATACATTCACACAAATGTTATGTCTGCATATCGTTTGTTGTTGTGCGTTCCATATTTGCCCCACCATCTCCCATCAATGGGTTTGGTTGGCAAACAGGGGCATAACATTTTCCTCTGGTAAACAATATGGTCTCGCACAATTTAATGATCTGCTTAATTATGCTTCTTGATTGTGATTAAAAAGTTTTGCTGCATGTAACTAAAGGAATACAAGGAAAATGTTTATGAAAATATAGATAATCCTTGTTTTGAATATATGTGGATTTAAGAAGCTGTAAATGCTTCTGGTAATTGTATTTTCTTATATAATTATTAAGCCTAGTGGTAGGGGCTTTCGGTTTAAAATAGGCTGCTTTGGCCCTGGTGGAGTTTTTTTTTTTAAAAAGATCTGAAAGTTATTGACTAACTCCTTTTTATAATATTTTGCAATCTGGTATAAAGAGTGTTTACTTTTTACAACACATTTTCTGAAGTCCTGAGATTTTTCTCAACTCTGACTACGGTTGAAAACTATTCTCAAGTGCTATGTCTACACATTTCACTCTCCATTTCTCATCAAAATTGCTTTTGTGTAAAGCACCTTAAGCCGGTGTTGTTTATGAAAAGCAAGGGCTACATATATACCTTGCCTGTCCTTCAGATTTCATTCGCTGCAAAACATAGCCTACAGGTAATAAGACACTTTTATTCTCTCTGTGTTTCTCAGTGAAAGTAGTCACCTTCTGTATGGTTACTGGAATTAGGCTTTCTCTTTTAATTCAGCTTCCTATAAGCGCCCGGCACAGTTTGTTTGTTCATCTCTTTCATCCACAGGACTCATTCTCCTTGTTTTCCAAGAAATGCTATTTATATATTTATGAAGGAATCACTTTATTGCACAGCAGCCATTTTGACATGAAATAGTAGGGCAATCACAGGTGGTACCAATGACACTAATTACTACTAAAGTTATTTAGTTCCATTTAGTGTAGCAGAGCCTTTCTAGTTAGCCAGCATGCACAATAGCAGCACCCTGACTCTGTTTGACCCGAATGGAACAGAACATTAATTAGTATCATGGGTAATACCTGTGTTTACCCTACTATCGTGTCAAAATGGCAGAAAAGGGTCTATAACGTTTATCTCACCGTAAACTGCATCGCTGATAATGTTGTACAAACCACAGCATGTTTACCTCCATTTACTCCAATAAAAACCTTGACACCACATACAAAAATAAATCAAATCTTCTACGTGTCATAAACACCAATGCAGAGTAACATAGCAACAAATGGATAATTGTTATTGGTGTAATTATGTTTCTTAAATTAAATTAAATAAGTAATGCTGTGTACAGAATACAAACATATCTTTTAGTACACTGTATGTATTCTATTTGACTATTTTGACAACAGCATACAGCACATCCTTCTCTCTTTGATCAAAATCACAGGGTGACAGCAACCTACAAGGGCTTAGACTAGTGGATAACATGGTGCAGTGACTCAGTGGATGGTATTGTGAGGTGTGATTTCACCATTAGGCAGCCCACATTAAAGCTATGTCGTATTGTCTGCCTGTCTGGCGTGCTAGCTATAGATCAGTCAGCTGTAATTGGCTGCTCTGTGGAAACCATTGTGTCCTTTTTTTTAGTCTCAGCCTTTGTGTCCTTCAAAAGAAAGACAAAAAGAAAAAAGGGAGAGAGAGAGAGCAAGACAGATGAAGCCAAAGCAAGTGAGTTAGAGACAGCATTTGGATTTATTTTTACACCATCTTCTGTCCTCTGTTTTTCAGTTCCAATTTCAATCATTACCACTAAGTTTAAATTTGATTGCTTCTATTGTCATTTAAATACAAACAATATAAAATACTCTTATATACCTATCTTTTTGAACAACAGGTGCTCTACTCTTCAGATAGTCAAGAAACATTTTGGAAATTAGTTGCAGAAATATATTGCGGGCTATTTTTTGTGGGTGGTTTTGCTGCTATTGTGGAATCTACTTATTGCTCCTCTATTGCAAGCCATTCCATGAAGCAGATGTCAGATCTTATGCCATCACTTACTCGCTTGCACTTCAGAGTTCTATGAATAGAATACGTGAATGCCCATGACCAAGCTTCGACTGCTTGATGTTGAGGTGATCAAGTCCACATACTTAACTTAAGAGGATGTACAAAATATGAAAGGCAGATTGACCCACTTAAAGCTTTATGTGTAACCAAGGATTGCTGTATGTAATTTCAGTTATTAATTTATAATGTGTTTACAGAAAGAAGTCTTTTTCCTTGAGATCATTAACATTATGTGCTTCTGAGACTGCTTGGGCTGAGCAGATTTCCAGGGAAGTAAAGCCCTCTCACACCTTGGCAGTACCTTGAGGACACTCAAGAAATTAGCGTCTGGTCCCTTCAACCTATAAGCAATATGCTTTGAGTCACATCTTCAGTCACTAAAGAGGAGAGGTGTGCCTTAGTTCAATAATTGAGGCCATTCTTTCAACTGACTTAATGGTTTACCTTTTCTCCAACAAAAACCTCTTGTTCTTGTGTCACTTCCAACATCACCTGCTTAAACTGTCTCACCACCTCCCCTCAGTCAACCCTTTGGTTTATGCCCCCTTCCTGGTTTTGTACATTATGTCTTGGAGTTTGTCTGTGAATAATAATATGTGCTATAAGGGCTTCCATCCTGTTTCCCAGCCAATCCTCTCACATTAAACCCTTTTTGGGATCCAACAAATATTAAATCTGTGTTCACATAAACATTCTGTAGTTACAAGCTTTTTAGCCCACTCTTACTGTAGTGTTGAGATTGAGCTATTAAGTAAGGAGTAGAAACAGTAATTGGTGGGAGAAGCGCTGTATTTCGATAATCAAAGTGAATTGCTATTTTGTTTCATTTCATTGGTGCAAAATGAATATGAATTGCTGAACAAACTGATGGACTCATGCAGTCAGTGGCTTCAAACTGGAAATTCCACAGTTACAAACACAAACTTATCTATTATTTATTGGTTCAAGTTACACTATTCATTTGTTGTTACAGGCTCTACAGAAACCCTGAACATGGTTGCGATTGTTGCACCGCCTCAGAATGCAACAGTCGTGCTCGGCCGTTTCGCTGTGATGGAGTGTATGGCACAAGGCCAGCCGAAGCCACTGGTGTCCTGGAGTAGACAAGGTAACACTCGGAAATGCTCACGCTCGCTTGTTTCTGTCTGTGGTTCTCATCCTATATGTTTTTCTTTTTTACTGCATCTGTTGCACTTTCATTACCCGCGTCTCGGTCTCTAATTATCCGTCTCTCACAAACAAAGAGCAAGCATCATTATGTCAGGATCAGATTTGCGTACCTGTAGCTGTAAAGTTGTTGTTTCACTGATAAAAGCTGTCTCGTCTAGTCTTCTGTTGTTCTATTGTGCACTAACTCAGGGTTTACATAATATGACTTGTCACATTGAATAATTCACACCTCTGCAGCAGTGAATACAGAATGATTTTACACACAGCTCAGGGGTGTGCTAATGCAGGCCCCTGAGTGAACCCAAACTGAAAAGTCACAGAGCCACCTGTTGGTCAGCTTGTGGGATTACAGGTCAGCTCCCCTGCTGCTCAAAGTGCATCCTCTGTATCCTGTGCTGTTTCTCAGGCAGTTGCCTGAGAATTTATCTCCCCTTTTTTCAATGCAAATCTATTTTTTCCATTTGTATGATCTGGGACTGTCCTGTTGTTCTTTGTTTCTTTCTTCTTTGATCAGATGGAAAACCCATTTCCACCGATGTTGTCGTCCTTGCAACAAACCTGGTGATTAGGGACACGAGGCGTCACCATGCCGGCGTCTATGTCTGCCGGGCCAACAAGCCCAAGACCAGAGAATTTGTAATTGCTGCTGCTGAGCTGCATGTGCCTGGTAGGAATCAGTTATGTACTGTATATAATGATTGATTTGACTTTTCTGAGAGCTTTTTCATTGATACTAGTTTCTGTCACCAGCTTCCCTTTAAGTTTCCTAGTAATTGAAGGTCTGAAAGGAATAATAATTAAAAACAAATTTGGTTCTTGTATAATTTTGTAACTTGAGTCATCAGTTTTTTTGGGGTGCCCCTTGTGGCTTATGGTTGAGTCAGGCTAAAAACCTTTGTTGCATCTCTCTCCCGCTTATCATCTTTCTATTTATGCTTTCTAATAAAGGCATACAAGTCCCCCAAAAGTTAAAGTAGCATGATATGGAGAGTTAAAAAGAAACTGAGATCAATATGAGTGTTGGCCTTTACCAACATCACTTTTCCCTATGTTGGTAGATTGGGAGGAGGAGGCCTCGGTACATGGGTCGCCAGCTCTACCCACTGAGCTAACCGGGCACCCAGGGACGCATTATTTTTTAACCGCCTACAGTGTGAACGGATAAGCCGACGGCGCGGAGCGAGGGCGTGTCGGTCAGACAGTCTGATAA